TTCCCCCCGCCCCCCCCCCCCCCCCGAAATGATGATTTTTTAACTGAGAAAGTGCAAATATATCTTCAGGGAAAACAAAATTTAAGCACATGGAATTAATGGCAATTTATAAAATCTAATTTCCTTTTATTTGATTACACTTTCTTTTTAACAAAAAAGCCGTTGCAAAATGTAATGCTTTTCTTTGCTTTAAAGTGGAATCATGTTCTAAAGCAGTCCTCACTAGCAACTGGATTCTGTAAATAAACATGTTTCCTTGGGATGCATGCAGTGAAGCAGATGAGATCTACAAAATATGTGGTGTAATAGGCAATCCAACCCTTGAATCTTGGGCTGATGGACTTAAACTTGCAAGGGATATTAACTACCAGTTTCCACAGGTTAGATAATTTGGATCTTGCTATTTTTGTGTAGTTAGCATCCTGGGATGCTATTTTGCTAATTAATGTACATGTACTGGTACAATGGCATTCTACTAAGTTTACACTATACACCTTTTACTTTCTACAGCATGCCGGTGTGCATCTTTCTGCGTTGATCCCGTCTGCAAGTGATGATGCAATCAGCCTTATCACAGTAAGTAGTTTTTTGTAATATTGCTCAGCTGCCTAGCCCGTGAGCCACTGATCAAATAGTTTTTAATATTTTCTCCCTTCTGCTTTCTTCTGTGCTATTAATGCAGTCACTTTGCTCCTGGGATCCCTGCAAGAGGCCAACAGCTTCAGAGGCCCTTCAACATCCTTTCTTCCAGGTAATCTTTTAACTAGTTCATGTTTTGTAGTCTTTATTTTCTTCAAGAATCTTTTTTTTTTTTTTTACTTTATAAGCTGTTTTATTCAGACTCTTTATTTCTTGTAGAGTTGCTTTTACATTCCTCCATCCCTTCGCAGCAGAGCTGTAGCGAGAACTCCTCCACCCGGTTTGAATTATTATTTTTATTTATTTTGTCAGCTAGGGGGAACTTGCGTATCTTACATTTGTATGGGGATCTTAATTTTTTTTTTTCCAGCTGGAACTAGAGGAGCACTGGATCAGCAAGGGGTTAAGAGATATTCCGGTGCTTTACCTAATTCAAAGCTCACCAATAATTTTTCCTCGCTGAAATTACATCCTCCTTTAGCTTCAGGTGACGTAATATTTGGTTTTTACATGTTTGTTGATTATTGATTAGTTCCATGAATGTATGCAATTTTTTCATTTTGTTTTTGACGAGGAGCAAGAGGACCGAACCGCGGGTTACTGAAAACCTTATCATTAGGAAAATAACACAGTATTTATTAATTAGTTCCATGAATGCATGCGTTTTTTCAATTAATTTTTCTATGTGGAACAACAGGGCCCTAAAAGTAGAGGGTTACTGAAAAGAAAAACGCCATCATTAGGAAAAGAACTTAGTAAAATGCTTCAATATTCTACGATAATTTTCAATGTAAATTAACTAAAGTTTATCATTTAGTATAAGTAATGGTTATGAAGTTCAAATGCAAGAACTTAATCTGTTTGTCCCAACTCCAGTGACAAATATTTTTGAACATTTTGACCGTTTTGGCTCTGTTATGAAGTTGATGGCTGCGTTATCACTTATAGATTTCTTTTTACTCTTAACAATAAGATAGTAGAAACTTTTTGACCTTTGGGTTACCTTTGACTACTTCGGTTAGTATTCAATTATGTTATTCTATTTGTTTTAAAATCAGTTAGTTATTAAGCAGGAATATCCATTTTTTATTTTTATGATTTCTGATCTAAAAGCTTTTCCCGTTGGATTATATGTACAATGCATAGGTCCTTTTTGGTTTGTATTGTGAATATGAAGAGCACAGTTCTCATCCAATTACGAATGTTACAGGTGTGCAACGGAAGCTGGATATGGTTCATCAGGTGAGGTTTTCTCTCAACATTCTCTGGTTCTTACCACACCTCTCTTGCAAACAAGCACTACTTTTTTTTAATTCATTGTATCAAGAAAATGATAATCTAATTTTTACTCGAAAGCCTCCTTCTATATAGTGGATTAGCTCTTATTTTCCTAATCCTTGGATGGACTAATATGTTCATCGAATCTATAAGCTGGTTCCTTTCTTAAGCCGTTCTATGTCATGCTCCCAACGATTTTTTGTTGTTGTTGTGCAGGATGCTATTAAGAACGAAAAGCCAATGAGGACTACTAAACCTAAATATCGACAGCCGGGAAAGGAGAGCCCAAGTAAGTTTTTTCAGTCTGTGTTTTTTATTATTGTATCAAGTATTCTTTTATAGGTAACTACTTAAATTGTTTGGCATTGAAGGGGTTTGCTCATTTCCTTAAGATTTGTTTATACTAAGATTTTAGGTAAAGGTTATGTGGTGTTATTGTTTATGGGGTGTTGGCAATGGCAGCTTATATGAACAAGGGGAGGTCTGGACGTGGGGTTTCTGAAACAGCTGAGAAGTTGGGGAATTTGACTGTTGGCAGTCGAAGACAATCAATGGGGCGTCCTCCAGCAATGAAGGCTGGAGTGAATTGGATTTCTGAATTTGGGCCAGCACAACAGATTCCGACTGGAAGAACTTTCACAAGAAAAGTTGCCGGATGAAGAGGGAGATTCTATTTCTATGATATATGCATGCTCATTGTGAATGTGTGTTTGGACATATAATACATATCTTCATGACTTAGCCCTACTCTAAACTACAACAATACTAGTACTGCTATTACTTGTGTGGAACATACAGAGCTAAGCTGATGTTTTTTAATAAATAAATAAATTTGTGCTTATAATATAAATATAGTTTTTCCTTGTGTATATGTTCACATGCATTTATTAGGATAAAAGATCATTTTGTCAAGACTACGGGATACCTGAAATTGTGTTGATTTTCGACTCATTGCATGGATCACATGAACCAAGTGATTTTTGTTTTTTTTTTAATTAATGACCGAGTTTTCATCGCAGTACGAAAGAGTCTTTGTACGAAACAGGACGATTTCACATTTTTAAATAATATTGGACTCATGTTATCTTTTTAATAAATAAAAACAAGATCTTTAAAGCAAATCAGTGTTTTATTTTATTAACAAATTTTAGTAAATAGTGAGTTTTGTTGGTTGGGAGATTAGAATTTATTCCCTATATTCTCATCTAAACTACTTAAATTATCTTATAGCTCTCAAATCAAGAGTTTCGTATAACTGTGTACTAACTACTTAAGTTTTTCTTTCTTTGGATGAAGAAGGAAAATAAGAGTTATTGAGTTAACAATGAAGAAGGAAATTAAATTTATAAGGGTTATTGAGTTATTTATAAATTAAATTTTAATATTATAAAAATGATATTAATAAATAAAAATAATTTTATATTATAACAAATTATTTATTATAAATATAAAATATAATTATTTTAAGGGGTTACTTTTATAAAATAATGATGAGTAATATTTACATTTCTAAAAGATTGTTAGTGTACAAGGATGGTCCAAGGATAAGGCTAGCAAAACTCTAACTTTAGATCTCTTTAAAAAAAAGCATTTTATATTAATATTTTAATAATTTTTTTAATACTTCATAAATTTTTTTTAAAAAAAAAAAGAAGAAAAAAGTATTTTATTAATATTTTAATGGTTTTTTAAAACTTAATAATTTAAAAATCTTTTTTTTAAAAATTATTTTAAAATATACAAATAATTATTTTTTAAAAATTTTATCTTCAAAATATTTTTTAAAATCAAAAGATATTAATTTTTAAAATTCTCATTTTAAGATTTATTTAGACTATATAATATAGTATAAGGAGTGTTTTAATAATAATATTAATTATTATCATGTGAGATTGTTTTTAAGGAGTAATTCTTCGTTAGAGGATTTATAAAAGAAATTACGTCTATATATGCAACATAAATTATTTATTATAAAATTAAAATATAATTTATATATTTAAAAATATTTATTTATATAAATTTTAATTATTTAATAAACATGCATGTATATTGTGTAACGATCTATTTTGATCAATACACTTACGGATCAATTACTAACAGTAGTGAAAAAAATGACTAAGTACCTAAGATTATATTTTTGATAACTAAATATTTATATATCATGTATATAAATGTAAGTAATTATACAAGTATAAAGCGTGTGTTTCTGTATATGATAATTCATAAAAGGTAAAATATAAAATGTTAAGTTGCAGATCAGATAACGTTTATATAAATTATAAAATATAGTCAGATTACATCACAAACAAATATGGTCCAACAAAAGTTCCAACAAATATCAACTAATAGAAAATTTAAAAGCTCAACTTCAGCTAACCTTGCCATACTCCCATGAAGAAAAAAAACATGATCATCGTAATTTCAATCACAAGAAAAACAAGCAAGGGTGAGCTAGATTTCAAATTATACAAGTACAGAAAGAAAATATGCATACTATACATCAATCCACCAACTTTACCTTCAACTAGAAGCCTCTGATCAACACACACAAGCATCAAATGTAGATCTACCGCTCTCCTAGGGAGTCTAGAGAAGAAGAAGAAGAATCAAGAACTCCAAAGCTCCACTCTCTAAAATTCTCGCTCTCTCTATGTTTGTTTAAAAATAAGGTTATAAGGCCTAAATTTCAAAAGAAACCTTCGATGATTTTCTTCATCCAGAGTCAATTGAACCTCTACTTAGAGATCTTAAAAACTCGTTAAACACACCTCAATCACCTTACACAATCATTGCTAAAAAAACCAATAATTTAAAACTTACAATGTTACATATTACATATCCTAAAATTTTAATTTATTATGTAATAAAATAAGATCAACATATGAGATATTTGACTATCAAATTTAATAACATTTAATTTTTAAATTAATTTATTATATAATAAAATAAAATGAACACGTGAGGTTAATGTAATTTTTCTATAAAAAATCATTTTTGAAAAAGGCAAAAATCATTGTTTTTAATTCTTACTAGTGAATTTCAATAGTGTCTATAATATAATAGACATTTTTGTTAAAACTTATTTAAGATAATAACAATTTTTTTAGTAATATTTTTCTTTTTTCTAATAGTGTTTATAATACATGGATAATTTTGCTTTTATTGAATCTTAAAATACATATTATTTATCTATCTTAAAATAAATATTAGAGAGTACAAATAGTTATTTTAAATTTGAGGGTAACTTTGAAGATTAAAGAGAATATTTTATAGATCCAAAACTAAAATTCATTTACTTTATAAGAACTAAAACTAGAGATTTTAAATTTAAGTGCAATAAAAAAAATTATCAAGAACAAGAAAAAATCCAGAACCTGCACATTTTATAACCAAAGGCATCTAAGCGTTAGTTTACGCAAATACAAATAGCAATTGTTCTGAAGTAACCAATATAAGCAAATGATTGACAGCAACCATGACCATAATTGTCATTAGAATTAAAATAATTGAACTTAAGATTAGGAATTTTCATAAGTATTCAGGGTTGAAAAATGTAGAAGTAACATTAACTTTTATTATTAGTATAAACTAGTTAATATGATGAGAATAGATTAAAAAAAAAAAAAGTTTAGATAGTTTATTAGAAAGATTATTTTAAAAAAAAATTTATGTGTGTAATCGGTTTTTGAAAATAACAACAATTTTATTATTAGTATACACTAGTCATGAGAATAGATATAAAAATAGTTATATTTTATATAGTTAATTAGAAAATTAAACTAAGTGTTGAAGAAAAAATATATTTTTTTTTTATATGTATTCGGTTTTTGAAATAAAAAAATGTAAATTATATACATTACTTAATAAAATGAACAAATAGAACAAGATCGATAAACATAATATAAATAAATAATTAAAATTAAAATTTAAGGGCAATAAATCATTTAATATGAGAAGATAAACTAAAATTTTAGAGAATGAGGGGAAAAAAAGTAAAGCAATTTTCATACTTAAATAACATTAAATGACTATTTAGCTTAAGAATTTGCCTAAAAGTTAAAAGAATTACTGTTTCAATAAATGCTAGTGAGCAACTCAGTTTATGATTAAAAAAATTAGCCTTATGACCACAATTGTATCCCGAGAGAAGAAAAGAAAAGTTATTTCTAAGTTAAAAATAAACATGACAGACTATAAATAGTTATTTCCAATTTTAGAACAATGAAAATTATAGAAAATACTTTATAGTTTCAAAAGTAAAATTCATTTATTTTATAATAATTAAAGATAGAGATTTCACATTTAAGAGCAACGGATAATAAAAATTAAAAATTAAAAATTAAAAAGAACAAAGCATAAGACCAAAACCTGCACAATATATAAGAAACAAAAACATTTAAGCATTAAATCACGGAAACACAAGTAACAATTGTTCTGAAGTAACCAATATGAGCAAATGACTAACAGAAACTATGACCACAATTGTAACCACTATCCCGGAAGAAGATAAAAAGAAAAAATAACATAAAGAGAGAAAGGGCCTTATATGACTATTACATCTATATATTATAATATGCAAGATTGACACCCTTAGGGCTTCAAAAGGAGTCACCACAAAAGCAAATTCTTGCATTGTTTGTAATTTAACTAATGGCATGAGACCATCACCATTGGTACTGATGTGAAGGCTAGTTTTCTGTATATAACTTCCACTCCATAAACTGGAATCAACAACACTACAATCTCTAGCAAACAAAACTGAGGATTCCATCCACTTCTCTTCAGAGATATTGAGCTTGAATTCTCTCCCTGTTGTCTTCCCACCATTTCTTTGCATGTCCCTCACCAAACCTCTCACGGCTGCAGCCAGAGTTGATCAAAAATCAGAACCAACTAATAATCTTAGCTCTCTAGATGAAAATTTTAATTCTAATGAAATTTTGGCAACATGTTACATGCAAACTAGGACCATTTAATCATCATGTGAGCAAATTAAGTACATGTTACTAAGATCATATAATATTTTTTTGTTGAGGGACATCATTTTGAAATTATATTAATGTTACCTGAATCTGACACGGCGAAGCTCCTTTGTTCCATCAGCGGATTGCTTGATTGTGATGTACACTCCAGGTTCATCTTGTTCAACCCATTCTGCCTCCATTTCACTGGCATTGCTCATTGAAGCCTCATCTCTAGAAGAGGTGGTTGTCCTTGATGCTTCAACAGATGACCCTGCATTGAGGTTTTGGCCACCACCACCTTGATTCATCGGTGTCCAATCCTTGGCCATGGAAGGGATCACAGGGTTTTCTTGTGAAAATGTCAGTCTTGAGACAGATGAATCTCTTGGTTGTTCAAAGGAAGTAATCTACATTTTGACAAATCTTGAGCAATATGTGATTTGTTGAGGAAAAATAAAGCTTTGATTTATGGTAAAATCTACTCATGATAGTGATAAACATGGGGGTATGTATCAGTAAGAATATCTTAGCTGTTTAAAGGAAATAATCTACATTGAAAAATCTTGAACCATGTATAATTTGTTGAGGAAAAAAGAAAAGCTTTGATTTATGGTAAAGTTTAATCATGATAGTGATGAATGTGTTGGTAATCATTTTTCATAAAAATAACAGTCAATGAAATAGAATGTTAACATCATAAGGGTACCTCATCCTGGTCAGATCTCGAAGGAGTAGTAGTGTTCTGATCTTGCTGATTGTATCTATGGACGTTGTAAAGTTCACTGATTCGCTCGTAATTCTCAGTCCACCATTTTTGAGCCTGCCACCTGTCAAAAATATCTCGGCTGCAAATTTAAATGCCAAGTAATGTCAGTATTTGTTGCTCCTAAAGGGTAATTAGTTTACTTTTTCAACAACTAAATTCTCAAATGCTTTTGTATAATATTAATGAAGGCCTCAAAGTTACGTATTCTTTCACAACTTAGGACATATTGCTATTAAATGTTTTTGCTCCCACCTTCATATCTATCTCCACAAATGGAATCATATGTTCAATATGTGGCAACAGTGCAGAGTTAGGCCAACAATAAGTTACCAATTTAGTTTGAACAGGCGAGTCATTTAAGTGGTCAGACTAAGGAATAAAAAATCTAACATTAGTAAAACCTTGGCATTTATTAAGACTTGTGATATCTTAACATACCTGAAGCGAATTCTTTTGAGATCATTTGCCCCATTAGGAAGAGTCACAAAGGTAATGCTAATCCCTGGTTCAACCTGTGCTACCCACTCCTGGTTTTCTTCTTGATCCTGAACAACTACATCAGGGGCTGGTGCTGCCTCAGGCACTCTAGGGGTCCTATCACCACTGAATCCCCCCATAAATCTTTGGCTACCACCAGTGAAATTGGAGCTCAAATCCCATTTAGGGGTTGAAGTTGAGTTTACACCTCCAATATAGGGGTATGGAACCCCATCAGAAACGGTGTCAAAGTCAGGAAATGGTCTCTGTCCTTTCTTGAAGCTACTGGACCCTGTGCAAGGTTTGCACTGCTTGTAAGCACCTGAAAACTTCAGTGCCATATCCTTCAACTGCATATGCAGAAAAAAGAAATTCAAATTAACATCACTGCATTGAAAGTTTTAATTATGTACCATACATATGTATTATCTGAGAAACATACAAAATTAATGACAAGTGACATCTGATAAGCAAATAAGTCCTTTTAGGATGAAAAACTAATAAAAACAATAAAATTTCTCACCTATCAATCTAGCTGCAAATGGACATTTTGTAATGGCAATAAAGAAGTTACTTTCAATTGAACAATTATTTTAAGATTGATTATTATTAACTGTTTTATCATAACACGCCACCAAGAGATAAATTTAGACGTGAAACGTGCCATCAGAATACTACTGTTATATAAAAGTGCATTAAAATTATTTCAAGACGAATATAACTGTATGTATATTTATTTTCAAAAGATGCATAATACATACATGTACTTGGTCAACACTACACCTTCATATAAACCTACTTTTACAGATCATTCTGCTTTAACAGAATATCTCAAACTTTTAGAAAATTGAGATTCTTGAATAGTTACACATATTCTGCATCTATGATTTTGACCATTGACACTTAAAATTAGGTGGGGGAGAGTTTAAAAATATTTTTTTAGTACTTAAGAATGTGTTAAAGCTTTCAAAACACCTGAGTGCTGTACTTTCCCCTACAGCTAACAATGTAGATCCCCATTCAAATATTCCTTTCCTTTTGAAAATCCAATATAAATCTAATTGTCTCGTTAAGTGATGCAGTTGATAGACAAAAAGTTATATATAGAAAACCAATTCTCAACTTGCCAGAAGAAGATAATACAATTAATGCAATTAAAACTCTCAAAAGCCTTTTAGTTTATTAATATTGGACACCCCGCACCCCCAAAAAAGAAAAACTAGAGTAAGTTAAATAATTTAGAGACATCCACTTGGATTTCAATAGAGCATGAAGCAGAAGTGTTTGTCAAATGGCATACATGGAAAGATTAGGGAAACTAAGTCTGGAAGTTTTGAAACATAAATTAAAAAATATATGTTTGGATGAAACTAGATGGAGTCTAAGGTTTAAGGCTTGTGTCAATTTCGAAGCATCGTCCAATACCTTTACAGCTGGGATGGTGGAGAATGTACTTTGTGTATAGGATACAAGTGGATGACAACAACATCAGTGAACATGAACATCCATTATAGGAACCTTATATATATCCTACTATCAACTATGTACCCCCAATGGAAAGCATTTCCTGTTTGTAGAAATCTCCAACAATATCTATCCAAATATTACTTGTCAACATTTTCACACAAATCAGAAACATATGGTTCAAAATAGTTAGGATGGGCATCAGAACGTGCCTCACATACAAGTCTCTAATCTTGTAATTCAAATCTTTTAAACTTTACTGACAAGGATGAAGGATAAGCATAAAGATGAAGGTAACTAATAAGCAAACATAACAAGAGAAAACAAAAAATTGAGATGCTCATGCATGGCTAATGGCTAATGGTGTAAAAACTAATATCCTCCATTAATAATAACGGATAACCATTCTCTTCGTAATAAGTCTTAATTACCCTATTATTAATAATTATCTTCATAATAAGTATTTATTACTGCATAATTATCCTACTTTCAATAACTTTGTAATTGCTCTCTCCATATTACTCCATAATAATAGTTACCTATTGGAACCTCCTTAATGAAATCATAATGACTCATCAATCCACAACGACGGTTATACGGCTAGCTGTCCAATCGGTTACTAAGCTCAGCTATTAAAGAGATTTAGGGGCACAATCAAAAGCAACTCACTCAATGACATTGCTCTTGTACTTCTAGTTCTAGAGGACCTACTAATATTCTAGCCAAAACACTAATAAATGTCAATATATTTTTTCTGACAAAAAACAATATTATTATTATTATTATTATTATTATTATTATTATTATTATTATTATTATTATTATTATTGTTATTGTTATTATTTTGCATATGCACATAATAGAAACTTTTGGGACGACAAGAATTCAAGAATGGGCCACACCAAGATACGAATATAGCATTCCCTTCTGTGCTAGGCATCTTTTTCAAACATTACTCAAACCGCGGAATGTGGAACATGTTGCCACAATGCCACTGTCCCAAATCAAAGAAATTTTAACTTTTACCACACAATTGCTTTTACTTCCAAAAAAAAAAAGTGGGTAAATTAAGTAATGGTAAGGTCGATCAATGATAAGTGAATAATCTCAAAGTACTTACTTTAGGGTGCTATACTAGTGAAATGACAATTAAAAATCGGCACATTAGGTGGTAAAATTCTACAGCTATAGCTATAAATTATGCCGTCACTATTATAAAGTCTGATTCAACCCACCTTGCTACCCTCATGTGCAATTATAAGTAGCCGAAAAAGGGCACTGGGAACCTACTTGACGAGTTGGTTCCGTAATTTGTAACTCAAGAGAGAATAAGCTACATGGTTGACGATGCTATATATATGGTCACGTCAGGTCAGCACCACATGCATGAAAATAAAACCAATTAATGGACCAAACCGTGGGAGGAAGTGGACCATGCATCAACAGCAAAAGTGGCCATAACACAACACATACGTCATCCTAAACCAAAACAATCCCTGCCTAGATAACTATAGTATCCCTGTGGTGTATATCACATAAATACACGTGGAGGCAAAAGATCGAAAGGGGTGGTCCCCACATCAATATTGGGTTTGATTTTGTTTGTTTTCACCAAGATGGGAAAAGAAGCTAAGCTGCAAAAGAAAAGTGTGAAAGAGTGAGATGGGACTAAGAACCTGCGAGCTCAGGCTTTTGACGGCTTCTTTTGTACTCGGCGTGCCACTCTCACCACCTTCTTCCTCATCCTCCGCCGTTTGCTTCGTACAACTTATGCATGGAAACATTTTCACCACTTTTTCCCTTCCTGCACACAAACAAAGCATTTCTGGTTAAATTCCACTGAATCAATATGCATGCATTGGTTTTCCAAGAATCAGAAACAATAGATATATATATATAAATGAAAATGAAAAACGTTTAAGGATAAAGTTGAGAAATGAGGATCACTTTCATTGAATAAAACAGTGACATGGAATGGCCATTTCCGGCAAGTAAAAGCAATGTCAATTAGGTTTTCAGGGAAAGGCAGCGAAATAAAGAAGAAACAAGTTAGAATGCAACAAGTAATGAAATAAGAATAAGAATTACAAAAGAAAACTGTTTGAAACTCCAAAGTAGTAACAATATCCTTCACGAGAAACAAAATGGTCCTGAGATAAAAATACAAAAAGGAAAAGCAATTATCTCGAAGGAGGCTCGGGATCAGAGCAAGAGCAAAAGCTAGGCACCCCAAAAACCGAAAAGAAGGAATAATTGAAAGCGAAAAGAAACAAAACGGTGACAATTGAGAATAAATGCAAAGCAAGCCATTCATCCTCGTTGGAAGAATGTGATGAAGAATACAATGTTATTGTTATGTTATGCTACGCCACTCACTCACTGAGTGGTGCAAGCAGTAATAAGTAATGTGGGGTTGGTGCTTTATCGTACAGAAATCGAAAATAAAAGAAGCAAAGCGTGTCGAAGCCGAAGTTTTCTGACACCTCCCTCACGCACCAGTCTACTCTTCTGATTCTCTCTTTATCTTTTGTGTAAATCACAATCAATATCCACGTTCTCCCAGATAAGATTACACTCCAAAACCCAACAAAACCAAAATAGAGAGAGAAAAACTCAGTGCCATTATTACTCGTTCCAAATAAATAATAATAATACAAACACACACAAAAAAATATTTTTTTACAAGATTAAGCACAAAAAAAAACATGGGTAGACCGTGGAATGAATGTTTGTCGGAAGATGAAAGGTGTGAGAGAGAGAGGCAAGGAGACAGAAGAAGAAGAAGAGAATTGTATAATGGAAGTGATGTCATTACTATAACTATTCGAAAACGACTTACCAAACTAAACAGAGAGAAAAGAATGTTGTACTCTTCTCTTGTTGTGAGCTTCAGGTTTGGGTTTGGCCCCTCTTTATACTAATTTCTCTTCCCTCGACCGCATCGCCTGAAACTGAAGCAAGCACGCACATGGATTGCGTTTCGCTTTCCAACCGCCACGATCAAAAACCGCGCTTGCTAAGTGGGGTTGTCGTTTAGCGCATGGCCGTGGAGACGCTGAAACGCAGCCACATGGCGAATGACAACGAAGATTTCGCAAACACAGCTCAGTGTAGAAGTGAAGAAGACAAAACCAGTGGCGCGGAAATTTGGATTGTAGCTGCGACGAAACAACGAGAAGGGCAATGCTGAGCTGGGAAATGCAGAAGAAGAGAGTGAGTCGCGATATATTGAGACGATATTTTTGTGGTTTGAAGAGGGAGACAGAGTTTGAGGTTGTCGTGTTTATATTTGAAGGAGGTGATGGTGACGGCGTTAAGTTTCACAGAAAATGTTTTTGGAACATTTGGGGCCTACGTGTCTGGGTTGGCTTGATCCAATGGTGAAATTTGTAAGAGAGGGACACGTGGCGTGTTGTGGTTGGATTTGATGTGTTTTGAGTCAGAATGGATGGCTAGTATTATCTCAGGAAATTGGGTTTTAGACAGGTTTGAATTTTGGAAGTTTTCCGTGGGCAGATTAATGAAGGTTTAATTGAAATTTAATTTTCATCTTTAAATTTATGGTTTTTGAAACCACTTTTTTTTTTCCTGGTAATCTTTAATTTTCATCTTTGTTTTTCGATTTAAATATTGTGTAAATTAAAGAGAATATAAAAAAGTGTAAAGTGACATTAATTTATAGTATAAAATAATAATAAAAGTATAATATTTAAATAAAATTAAGAAAAAGTAATTCTACTTTTTTATAGTTTTAGTTTAGTTAAATTATACTTTTATCTCCAAATTTATTTTTTTTAGATTTAATTTAGTTTTATTATTTTAATAAATTTAATATGATTCACTAATTGAATAAATTTTGATATTGATCTCTGTAATTTTTTTTCATCCTTTTAAAATTGGTAAATATTTCTTTTTATCCTTAATATATATATATAAGGAATATATTTTGACAATCACCTTTTTAGTCTGCATTTTTTAGTGAATTATTATATCACTTGAATGTATAAAAAAAAAATTATCTTTTTTTAAATAATTATGTACAACTTCTAATATTTGTCCATGTGTAACTATTAGATGCACGAAGTGTTTTTACTCCTCTAATTCTTATAAAAAGAATAAATTTTAATTTTAATCTCTATAAAATATCTTTTTATAACTTTCATCCTTCTAAAATAAAGTAATTATTTGTTGTGCAAAGCAGTAATTTAGAATAAATAAATTATATTTGTTTTAAGAATGTATAAAAAAATTAGAGGTATTACACGCTAATATGATATTGTATCATTGACAATTGTAAGTAACACCTAAAATTATTAGATAATCTTGTACAGATAGTTAAAATCATCCCATAAAACTCATTTTAACATTATAACTAGGTAAAAAATTCTTTAGTTAATATTAATATTCAATTATATATATATATACATATAATTTATTTTTATTTTTAAAATGTTCAATTTGATCAATTTTCTTAAAAATGTTTAATATTGTTGTTTATTTTAATTTTATTACAACATTTTTTTAAAATTATAAGAAAAAATTGAACTATTTATTAGTCAATGGGTTTTACAATGAATTTAAAGTGATTGGCCCTTGTTATTCCATGTTCATCATTTTATTCACAGAAGTTGCAAGCTCACTTAAGTTGACTGTTTGTTTTTCACATTAGAATGCATGGCCTTAATTAGGGCTGGACCTTGTGGCATGACCATTGTTTGTTTTTCAGATTAGAAAATAAATTTTTTCTTAGTACTTTATATCCAAAAGTTAAGAAATTGAGGGTTTCATGCCCATTGCTTTTTTTTTTTAAGATCTCCTATAATACTTAATTTTCCTCCAATAGCACGTTCATTCAACCATCTTCCTATATCATTGAATCATTTTATAAGCCAAGGAGTTTATCAATGAATTCAAAGTGATTAGACCCTTATTATTCAATATTGATTAGTTTGTTCACTTAAGTTACAAGTTCACTTAAGTTTTTTTTTTTTTTTTATATTAGAATGCATATTGGTCTTGGGAATGGAACTTGTGGCATGGCCATTGTTTGTTACATGGTTAAGGACAAACGATTAATAGAGTCACGTAATTTAATAATAAGATAAGATGCATTTGAACTTTAGTCTCAGTCATTTGAACTTGTGGCATATCAATAGCAAGGCCTTGTATGTATTGTTTAACGCTAGCTACTTACTCCTATCATGGTGATAAAAATAAAATAAAAATTTTACTTTATTAAAAAAAAAATTTTTAAATTAAAATGAATGGTCTTAGCGTGGAACCAATGACATGGAGATTACATGTAACAATCATGTAATAACCATGAATTTCATTTTTCACATTATTATTATTATTGCTAACTATAATCATAATGAATTTTTTAGATCTTTTTTAAAATTGTTGACAACTTGTTGTATAATAATAGTCTATATTCTTTGCATGTCATCTTTCACCAAAAAGTTTTCACTTTCAATTAGTGTTTTGAGCATGGTTTTTAAAATTAGATTAAATCAACTAATTAAATTATTTGATTGAGAATTGATCTTTAATCAATTTGGTTGACTTATCAAACCTTTTACAACTAATAGGTGGAAAATTAGTAGAATTAATTCAAAACTAGTTAAATTCAATTAAACTAATTTGAACCAATACAATTAATTTTTTACTTTTAAAATTTAATTTAAAAATATTTTTAATAAAAAATACATATTTGATAAAAAAAATTATAAATTAGAGAAATTTTTTTTTAATACTTGTCTTATAAATACAATTTAATCATTTATGTTAATTTAAAATTTTAATATCTTTGTTTTTAAATTTTATACAATATTAATTTGATTACTTTTATTCTAGATATAAACTTGTTATTATTAATGGACATTGTTATATTTTATTAAAATGTAAACTTAAAATATTATATTATATTTAGTTTAGAATTTTATATATACATTAAATGTTAAGAACCTATGAATAATGTTTTATTTTAATTTTTAGTATTATAAAATTATGATATTATATTTATTTAATATATTTTATAATAATAATAATAATAATAATAATTAGGCTTAAATATGTTTGTCCTAAAATTGATCTTTTTAGTCTAATAATTTGAAGAACCTATGAATAATTCTTATAATCAAAATTTGTTAGTGAATCTGTGAGCCTATTAGTATTTTTATTAGTGAAAACATCACATTGAATCAAATAGGTATTGAATAACTATCTCAATCTATCATTGTTATATATATTACCTATATTTTGATGGAATAAAACAAGATTTTTTTATATTACAAGAATTAAGATCAAATTTAAATTTGGGAAACCAAAATCAAATTTACTCTAAATTTAAAAAATTAAAAATATATTTAAGTCTCATAATAATTATTTTATTAATATTAATTTGATCACCATTAAACCAAAATTAAATTATTAAAGTTTAAATCAATATTTAAACTAGTTCAATTACTTATCCAATTCCAAAAATATTGATTTTGAGTGATAGGCACAATGCTTTCCAAGATGACATCCACATGCATAGCAAATAATGGGAAGCCTTTCATCATCTACCTTACTAATTCCCATTAAGTTAAACATTTCTTTCCACAAGTTGTGTAAGATATATTTGAATGTAGATTCTACCAAACCTCTATTTTTCACTTTTAATGTATTTTTGACGTCCTTGATTGGCTTCCTTACAGTTAATGTTATTGTTACTAGTAAACTCTTATCCCAATATACTAAATTTAACACTAGAAATTTAATATAAATTAAGACATAATCTACCTTGTGTCATGTCACCAGTGGGCCTTATATTTTGGAGCATTCTCTAAAATTGTAACACGTTGTTTCTTTAATTGATAATTTTGCTAGCCATTTGGATCAAATTGTAAAAGAGTCATTGTCATTTATAGGGCATTTTTTTGTTCATAGCAAACACCCAATACCATGAGTGTTGTTCTTCACATTATTGTTACTTGTTAATCGTAACATATTCCTGAATATTCTCCGAGATCGATGCTCGTAATCTGTTGTGTACCACCCATTGTTCTATACAAGTTTTTGATTTTTCTATAAAATGGTAACTCCTTGATTCCTTAATTAATAAATTCGCCCACGTATCAAATCTATTAGTCTGGAAGATGACATTACCTTTTTTCAATATAATCATTAATTGTCACTTATTGGTGTGCATTTTTAGCATGTAATAATCATTCAATTATCATGAATGTTGTTTTTTGAATTATCATCGGTCCGAAATCGAATCCAACCATCATTAATGTTATTTTCCATATTATTGCTTACTAGAATCATAAATAATCCCTAATTATTCTCCATGATGTTTGCAACTTGTTTTGTTACCACCCCTCCTCTCTACATGTTCTTCTTTTGTTGAAAAGTTTCAACTACCAGAGTTCGGTGCATGATTTGAATTGTTGGGTACAGTTCTCCTCATAGCATCTACATATGCAAAGCAAATGATGTGAAGTCTTTACTATATCTTGCATCGATGATCATTTCAACTAAACTTTCTTCACCATCAAGATCAATTTTAATGTATATTTAAGCAAATATTTATTTATCAAACTCAATTTTTAACTCAAATTTAACTTATTTGATTCAAAAATTAAATTCAATAAATTAATTATCAAATTAAATTTTAAAATGTTTTTAAATTAATCCAATTCAATGTCATCCCCAGAGTTCATGCTCACTACTTTCTTTTCCCTAAATATCCTTTGCACTTTCCCTTCTACAATAGTTTCTTGGGATGAGAGTGTGTGAATATGATTTATGACCCCTCCAATTTTTTTGTTGGTCTTTATATTGTTCATTTTATTAATTTTTTTTTCTTATTGTCATATGTTTTACTCTATTTTCATTTATTATCTTCTTCTTTTCTCCTTTTTTTTTATTGACTAGCATGCTTTTTGAGTGGTAGTTAAAAATATATTTAAAATAAATATTATTTGAGTATATTTTAATTTATTAATATGATTTATATAGTGTTTTTATTCCAAGTAATTTTTATGTGTGACTTATTTATCTTTTTTTTTTTAATTTGGAGGGGGGTGCTTTGATTATAATTAAATTATCTTTTCACTAAATTTAAACAACCTAGACCGTTAATCATAGAGGACCTTGTCCATGTCCAAGTCCAACCATAGTTGTATATATAATTTAAACATCAAGACATAAGTCACATCATATTCCAAAATAAATTTTAACTAAAATTGGTTTTATTTAAAACTAATTTTACCAAAACTAATTAACAAAAATACACTAATAATTAAAAGAGAGTTCAATAAGTGGAAAATTTTACTACTTATAAATAGCTTTGAAAACTTAATCAGCATTGCTTGTGTATATTATAAAGTAAAGAATAAAATGCATCTGGACATATATTTTTTCTAAAGGAGAATCGAGAGAGAAAGAATAACGTTGCCTTCCACGTTAAGTGTACGTTTGAACTTTAAAGGGTTGCATGTGCAACAATTTTTTGCCATGCTAAACAAATTTTAGCTAGATCAGATTATTCTAAACCTGGTGAGTTTTGTGCTTTTCGTGATCATCATCATCCTTTTCATAAAAGCTCATCACTGTCTTCATCAATGCTTCAAGTTTCATTGACCAAAAACCACATGCATGAAGCTTATTCGATCAAAAGAAGCATGGAGTAGTAATAGTGCTTTTTCAATTCATACTTATCAAACTTGATGGTAGCTATAAGATTCTAGATTCTTATTAGACTCTACCGAAACAAAGCATAACAACGTATTCAATTCTAAAAGCTGAACTTACGTTGCAATTCCATTGATCGATCTCCTTTAATAAGTTTGATAGGACCAATCCAACCAAAAATTATTCTTAATTTCTTTTTATGTAAATATACATAATTCATTTCTTATGATCAGTTTTTTCCCCCTATTATATGTTAATAATATTGAAAGTATTGAGAAAGAATATGCAAATATTACCACTTCACAAGCAACGGTATATAATATAACTCCAGGCAAAAGTTTTTTTTTAAGTCATTCAATAATAAAGAATACATATTTTAAAAAGTGTTTAATTTTTTTTATCTGATTCTAAATTGATTATTAAATTAATCTGTATAATCAAATTCAGAAAATTTAATAATCAATTGATTCCTTATTTAAAAATTGAAAAAAGTTCATTGATCTAAATAATAGTCTCTAAACTTTTTTTTTTATATATAAACAAAAAGATATTGGAAACCAAGAATATTAATGAGAGAGAAAGTTCAGAAATTGAAAGTAAAAATTGGTAAAAGTTTAATATCTAAAACTATAAAAAAAAATTCAAGAATTAATAGTAAAAAAAAAAAAGAGAGAGATGAAAGACTATAAATATATTTATTTTTTTAATTAATAAAATACTTTAATTATTTTATATATATAATTTAATATTTCAAGTAGTGTTTAATTTTCACATTTAAAAATTTAAAGATATTTAAGTCATTATATTTAAAGATAGTTTTTTTTACACGATAAAAAGATAGTTAGTTATATTCTTCAAGAAAAAATTATCATCAATAAAGTGGGTAACATTTCTATCTAATAACACATTATTGATTTTGATCAGTTTACTAGAATTCAAACTACGCAGTAGATTAGTTTGTCGTGGTTTTTGCTGCTACATACATAAAGAATTCATAATTTGTACAGAAGAATTCAACATAAATACGTTCAAATGAAGAAGAAGGAGAAAAAAAAAAGCATCTTAAAAGAGACAAAAGTTGATCCTGCAGTGTTGGAATTAGTCTGTTCCCAAAATACGACATTTCACTATTCTGTCTGCTCATTTGCTGAACTAGAATTGTACCTTTTCTTCGGCCACTGAATGTTGCATGCGATTCTACTACTATAATAAAAGAGAAGGGCAAGTGGGCAAAAAATAATAAAAAGAATAGATAAATTTATTTTTAGTCTCTCAAATTTAAAATTATTATTTTTAGTCTATATAATTTTAAAAAAATTTATTTTAATTTTTATATTTAACTTTTGTTAAGAAATTTATCACATATTATTGTATAAAATTTACATATTGATATTTTTATTAGTGAAAATATCACATTAAATATGGTTAATATCGCATAATTATCTTAATTAGTCACTTTCAAATATGTTATTGGTGATCTAAGGAACTAAAATAAAATTTTTAAAATTACAAAGATTAAAAATAATAATTTTAAATTTAAGAGACCAAAAATAAATTTCCTTTAAATTTAATGGATTAAAAACATGTTTAACCGAAAGAAAAAATAATCATAGGATGAGATTGATGAGAGTAGGTTACTGAATAAGGTTTCGTCCAATCTGTTTATGTGTCAATGCTCTATTTGGCTGGATCGCCAGAGATTCCAAATCAAAATTGGAATTGAAGGAACATTTTTCAATCTTGTCAAATGCTTCCATAACATACGAAACAGAAGTCCCTCTGCTATGTTTGATTTAGGAAAAAATAATGAAAAAAAGGGAAAAGAAACAAAGAAAAAATAACATACACCCTTGATATATATAAATTATTAACAAACACTTATAAAATAATATCATTATTTAAGTATTTATAAAATGTTGTTTTATTTTAAAAATTAAATTTTAGTTGAAAATAAAATTAAAAATATTAAAATAACTAAATAATTTTTTAAAAAAAATAACGATATACATCACAACAATATTAAAAATAAAATTAGTCATCGTTCATCTAGTTTTAGTTTATAAAAAATAATTATTAATAAAATATGAAAAATAATTATATAAATAATCATGATTAAAAATCAAGAACCATAAATATAAAAAAATTAAAAATTAATTTTATATATTTTATAAAATCACAATTAAAAAGTTATTATATAAATATCAATAACAAAATTATCCCAAATGTGCTAATTTAGAGGGGAAAAAAGTTGAGATTTTTTTTTATATAATAGGGGAATGTGAATTCTAGGAAGAAGAGATAGAAAAAAAAAATTTGAAGAAGAAATAAAAAGGAACAAAAACTCTTAGAGGGGGTAATAAAAAAACTATAAAACTGATTTTTAATGAAAGAATAAAAAAGAAAATAAAAATAAGAAGTTTTTAATGTTGTTGACAAGATTTGGACTTAAGTATTTTTCCAATAAATTTTCACATAAGTAATAAACTATATTAGATAATTTATCAAAATAAATTCAAAATATCTTATAAATTACTCAAAAAATATTTTATAAGTTTGTCTAAATACTCTTATAAGTACTTGTAGGATGATTTCTTTCAATCTAGATCTTGTTTCTGCAGATGGCCGAGGCTTTGCTAGGAATTGTGATTGAAAACTTGGGATCTTTTGTCCATGATGAACTTGCAACATTTTTGGGTGTTGACCAACAGATTCAGAAGCTTTCCAGCTATCTCACTGCAATCCGCGCTGTCCTCGAAGATGCTGAGAAAAAGCAAATCACAAGCAATGCTGTGAAGGATTGGCTTCAGAAACTGACAGATGCAGCATATGTGTTGGACGATATCTTGGATGAATGTTCAATACACTCAAAAAGTTCATGCTTATCTCGTGTCCACCCTAAGGACATTCTCTTTCGTCGTGATGTTGGCAAGAGGATGAAAGACATCACCCAAAGATTTCATGACATTCATGAAGAAAGGAGCATGTTTCAATTCAGTACTGGTGTCACTGACAAGCAAGCAGAGGATGATGATGAATGGCGACAAACTAGCTCTGTCATTACTGAACCCATTATCTATGGTAGAGACCAAGACAGAGAGCAAATTGTGGAGTCTCTTTTGCGGCATGCAAGCAACAGCCAAAACTCCAAAAGACCAATTTGATAGAATTATTGAAGAGTAAGTTATGTCCAAAATTTCCGACCAGTTTATTTTAAATAATATATTTTAGGCTAAATACCTATTTTGGTCTTTTATAATTTTTTTTATTTCAATATAGTCCTTCATTAATTTTTGGTCTCAATTTGGTCCCAAACTAATTAATTGGTTTCAATTTAGTCCCAAATAAATTAATTGGTTTCAATGTGGGACTTCCGTCTAAATTTTTTTAATGGAGTTAACTGTTGCATAGGTGGATGCCACGTGGATGCATAGGTGGATGCCACGTGGATCCCAATTTTTTGAAAACACCTGGAACCAGAACGGTCCGTTCTGGTTGCACTTTTGGTGTGTTAATTTTGCA